TGATTGCTGCTTTTAATCCACTTGAATATATATCTAGATTATAATTTTCTTATAATGGTGCTGTTTTTACGCAACACTTACATGATTTAGATAATAATTTGAGAGGCAGGCTTCCGACCCTGCCTTTCGGGGCCAACCCGGGCTGAGAGGGATTCATCGCAACAAAAAGAACGAGACACACACAATAGAAATGCTTTCCCACCTCGTGAATCGACTCAGGGCTCCTGCATGCGACAGCGAAGTGCCTAATACGGGGTGCCCATTGGCACGATCCGGTCAGGTCGGGTCTGTTTGCAGCCAGATTGAGGCTCAAAGCGGCTATTGTGGCACAAACTGATCGCCCAACTTGTTCCCTCAAAAAAACAAACGCGTTTGTTTATAACGGGCGCTCGTTGAGGATAGGTTTGGGTCGGGTAGGGATGATCACCCGACTCGTCGCCTGAAAACAAACGCATTTGATTTTGAGGCGACGAGTCGGGCGCGATCAGCTTTTGCCACGATAGCCGCTTTGTGCACTCAATCTGGTAAGAATACCGACCCGACCCGACCCGATCCTCCATTGGGCACCCCGTATAATGGGGACACGTTGGGCGATTGGTGCGACCCGACCCGATCCCATCCGCATTGGGCACCCGGTATAACCAGTACACCACAGACGCTGGTCCTTCCACTCGTAGGAGGGAGGGGTGAACTGGTCTACCTCTACCTCTATCTCCTAATCCCCTCTCATGCAATGACTCCTAGCGTTATACTGTTGGATCTCCTCTCAGCTGGTGTTCAAAATGATGACAGGTATTGACGTATAGACGACACACCGGCATGGTGCATTGGCTAAGCGGTTCACAGTCGTACCCAGAAGACATGAGTTCAATTCTCATGTAGATACGTTCGTTTTTTTCTTTTATCTGCTAGGACATTGCATATCTCTCAGCGCGGGTTGGCCCTGACATGCAGGAAGAAGGATCCCAACACTTTATGGAAATTTGATTACAATCTTGTTCTGTAATCCATCTTTCGTGCGTCAGTGGGGCTGCCAAAATTGAGAAGGCGTTGCCTCTAACGATCGCCAGAGAGATTCTCTCGAACAACCACCTCGTTTCCCGTGGCGTTTGCTAACAGACGACCTACTTTCTGAAGGAACTGGTCGTCAGGGGACCGAGAGCTCCGGATGTTTCGACGGCCACTGGCCTAATTTTGAACTCTTTTGCCTTCTAGGCGATACTGCCGGGAACAGAGGTCAAAGAGGTGATGGACAGCGGTGAGAAGGAGTCGGATCACGTAGAATCCCACTTGAGGCATTTTCCATCCTCGAAAAGAAAAATGGTGATGCCATCCGGTCTTTTACCGTCGCCTCGTTTGTTCTTATTCCATGTGATGTTGAGATGTTTGGGATGTACGAGTACGCTACTTTACCATGTCACTGGCTCTTGATGTGGG